GAGGCATGATGGCTACAGGCGAACGAGTTGAAACTAATTGTAATGGTTACTTGCCATTCGTTTCTCCTCTTTTTGCTTTGCACCGGGTAAGAAAACTCTGTAAGCTCAGAGATACCAGAAATCTATTCACCCTTGATTAAATGTACCTGCAGGTTTGAAATGACAGTATTTAAAAAATCTCACCTTTTTCTTGGAAGTTCTTCATCTCTATATCTTGAGCGATCTTTAACCAGATTAGAAATAAGTTGGTTGAACGTTTCCCTGTCAATGACCAAACAAGTAACACCCTCTGATCCTTCGGCAACGATATTGGCAGTTCGCAGGTCATAACTGAAAATTGAACAAAACAAATTAGAGCCTGAGTTAAGACATTCAAAGTAGGGAGCAGGATTAGGCGACTTAAAATACCCACCTAACCAATGATCAGAGTAAATCTCATGACTACAAGTGTGCTATTTTTCTATCTTTTTTCAGTCTTTTATCTTTTTTCTTTTTGAGAACTATATTTTAATGCTTTCACATAAATTTGCAAATTTTGATCGAGTTACAAACTTTTACCTCTCTTGAAAGCAACATATGCATGACATATTACTGGATCAAATTAAGTTGATATAGCCATTTGATTAAATTTGAAAAAAATTTGGCTATTGGTTATTAGTGATCAAAGCCTGATCATAAGGTGGGATTATGCAGACACTTTGGAATAAAAAATCAATATACATACGAAAAAGAAAGAAAAAACAATTCAGAGAGAGAGGAGGGGGGATATGTCACAGAAAAACCAAAGGAAAAAAATTACCCTTGTAGCGCTTTTTCTCCAAAGTAGTCTCCTTTTCTTAAGGTCCGTATGTACTTTTCTTCTGCACTATTTTCTTGTTTCATGGTGACTTTTACCTGTGAAAATAAAAAGGAAAATTAATTTTAGTTCCAAACACTCCTTCTCTACTAGCTCTACTAGCTACTTAGCTCTAAAATCTTGGCACTTAGAGCAGCTGACCCTTTTTAACGTTTCTCCAGCTCGTGCTGCATTGGGACGTTTTGATTTTATTAATTTTTACAATTATTGCCTCGTGCCATTTTAACTACGAAAACTAGCTCAAACCAGGCCTTTGTACTTGAATTAGTTGCGCAATCAGTTTGAAAATTTAATAAATATCACCGTTGAAAAGGTTAAAGCAACTTGTGCCATGGAATTGAAAAACAAAAATGGTATCAATGGTAAAAAAAAAAAAAACAAGGACTCCCTCAAGAACCAATCTCATTTTCAAAAAGAAACTCTATTATAAAATTAATTATAATGCGCAGACTTAAAACTTTTAAGTATCTTGATAACCTTCTAATTATGAACAAATGCAAATCACCAAATGTGATTATACTAGATTTAAGGGACTATGCACACAATATGTACCATGAAATTCGGCGGTGGCTAATTTTTCAACACTATTAAATATCATGTTTCTTGCGTACTCCTGAGCAGGATGAGCTATGTTTGGTTGATCTCTCGATGGAGGACATTTCAAAACTATGAGTTGATTTACAATAACAAAAATACTCACTTTTCCTTTGCTGATGATGAAAAAGGTATCTCCTCTAGCTCCTTGTCGGATAATGTAATCACCATCATTATAAAAGGTCTGAAAAATGATATTGAATTCAAAATTAGCAATAAAATTAATTTCAAGAAAAAGGTCATGAGCATCGACTCGGTAATATAAATTAGGCTACAGTCTTAAAACCTAATAAAGCTGTTCTAAAAGATCCTGAGAGAATACGTTTCATAAAATCCAAGATAGATTTTCCGGTGGCTAACCGAAATTCATAGCTTATTCTAGCAATCAACTTCAAAAGACTCCCCAGAGAAAGTTTCAACTTCAGATGAAACTTCCTAAAGATTCGTGAGGATTGCAAAATTTTAACGTGAAATTATAGTGATCAACACTCAGAGAAGAATTCCAGTACCCCTCCCTCACCAATGAATGTCCTCGGGGTATGGAGGCTCCTTTGAGAAAAATTAGTTTACATAGAGAGATTGACTCAGCTAGCAACCTATATGTCAGATCACCGCTGTTCAGAATTATGTTTAAAAAAATATCTCGAAGTCAGTTTTCCTATTTCATGTTCATAAAAAATTCAGTTACCTGCAAAAAACTAAAAGATCGTGAATGGATAATGTGGAGGAAAAAATCCCTGACACACTGAGATTGTCAGATTCTACCCAGGTACAATAAAAGAATCGGTATGGTGATTGATTAGACTTTTGATTTCTCTAAATTAAAAGTTTTTAATAAACAAGTAGAGGATATTACATACCTCTTCAAGTACATCAGAAATTTTGATCAGC